AGTCATTGATACTCTTTACATATTCTGTTATCTTTTCTTTAAATACACCAAACTAAATGAGAATGATGGGGAAAAGAGGAAATTTTCCCTTATTTTTAAGCACTGCTTAAAACTGCAAAAAAAATTGTGGAAAAAAATCTGTGATGTTTCTAATTACATACATGGACAAACAATGACTCTTTTTTGTTAATAATAAGGAACTTCCTATTATTAAACACCTGAACACAGTTACACTTGAATACTGATAGGAAGTTTCTTCTAATGCTAATTGTGATGAATTTTTACCAAGCATATATCTTAACCCATTGCCGCCGGAGAAAATGAACAAAAAATGGGGGAAATGCAGTACTCATTTTTTATATTTTTGTGAAATATCTCTGTCCATAGAAGGCTCTGCTAGTCCTGATTTCACCTTTCCTTGAATTGGCAGGAAAAAACGTATTCTTACTAGTGCTATAAATATAGATGGTGTTATTCTTAACAGCAAATTAGGATAACGTTAAATATTTTCGTAAATCGATGAAAAGGGTGAACGGGTGAGACAGGCAGTACTCGTAATTGGCTCATTGGATACTTAGTACAAGTGCAGCCATCTATGTGTAAAAACAATTGAACAAGTCGACTCACAGCGGGCATGGCATGTACGTACATGCCATCCCCGGCGGCAATGGGTTAACATATGATATGGTTCTTGGGATTTTAAATGCTGCTTAAAACCAAGGAACTTTTTGTCTATTGGTATTGGGAGAAAAAAAACAAAAAAAACACACCTTTATTTACTTATACCATGTACCTGTTTTCTTTTTTTCCTACATTACCTAAATCATATAAAATTTGAGAATATAATAAAAACCTGAAAACTAAGAAACAATGTATTTTTCTCATCTGGTCTCATGAGCATAGTCTAACTAATGTCTTAGGCTGACTACATTCAACAGCATGCAACTCCCAATGTTTGGTAGCATGTATGTTATATGAGTATACTTTTTTCTACTATGAAGTAATATAAAAAAGTCAGAAATCAAATGGCAAATGAAACATAAGAACGTCTTTCTTAGAATTGTAATAACTGACATCAGAAAAATTGTCTACGAAAGACTTAACCACAACCATCTTATTAACAGGTCAACAGTGTTAAAGAAGTTGGACTCTCTCACAAGGAGGCAATAACAGAAGAAGAAGAAGAAAAAGAAGAAGAAAAAGAAGAAGAAGAAGAAGAAGAAGAAGAAGAAGAAGAAAAAGAAGAAGAAGAAGAAAAAGAAGAAGAAAATGCTGTAATCCTTTTAATTATTACTGTAACTTTCATTGTATACTTCCTGAACTCCTTTTTTTTTCTCTCTCTCTCTCTCTCTTTTAATAACAGTTTCTTTGTAAACTTGCTAACCTTCACTATCATCAAAAAGAAATTTTGAGTGTATATTCCAATACATAGCCCATTCCAGAAAAAGGCAATAACAAGCAAGGTACTCATTATCAGCTTTAATTTAAACTGTAAAAAGAAAAATGAACCGTTCATTCATGGGCAAGAGAGTAAGTCCTCTGAAAATCATGACAAACCAAAGTTATTTGCCTTTTTGATTTGGTTTCATCTTCAGTACAAGACCTGATACAGAATAGAGAGTTTTCAACTTTAACCTGAAGTCTGTGTAATTTTCATTTTAGATCATTTCCAATTCACTGATTGGTAGCTATGCATAATTTTCCACAGGAAAACGAACAAATTATTGCACTTCACCATTTAAAACAAAAATGGCTCTTTCTACAATCCTTTTTGAATTACTCACTAAACGCACTTCTTTTCCAGCAGGTTTTACATGCTCGGCCAAACTGGATCCCACTTTTGATCCACAGGCCTTCCCCCCCACCCCTGTCCCAACCTTTTAAACACTTCCTACAAGACCCCCATTGAGTAGCATTCTCTAAGTAAAAACAATACAAAATTTGTGCAAACCTCCTCATCCTACTGCCCATTTTGTTTTCTTCTTCTAGATATGGGCAGAAGAAGAAAAAAATCCCTATCACATTAAAATATCACATAGAAAACAAATTCTGACTACTAGACTTACGAAGAAAATAAGAAAACTAGAGATCTCATTGTGTTAATTCTCAATCATAATGTATTTTTGTGCAAATTTGTAGAGCAATAAAAAAAAGGAACAAGAAATATGTATATATATAAAACGATATAAACTTCAACAAAAAAATAAATACATACAAAGCATCACTCAGTCAAATAGTTCTCTTTTATGACTTCCAAAAGAGATACATCATTATAATTAATAACAAAATAACTAGTAAAGATGAGCATACACATCTAACAAAGGTCTTCACTAATCATTATTTTTTGCAAATGGTAGCCAATGCCACTTTAGAATTTCCAGGTGTGGCAATGCCCTATTAGAGTCAAGGCAATGACCTTTTTATTCAATCATTAAAAATAAAATAAATAAATAAACAAATGATATGAATAAAACTGGTCCAAAAATTCCAGAAAAAGCAA